ATTAGAGATAACATTCACTTCAACGGGACTAATGTGAGTATAATATAGCCCCGAGGAATACGCTGGCATCTTTTCACAAAGAATTTTATTGCCAGATTTGGTTGTCGTTAGACACAAGTATTCCTTTTGATTTTCTGTCATGGTTTCAATGTGATAACCATTTTGACGCATATCTTTAAAGCTCAATAAATTCCTTCGGGATTTGCTGGAATATAATGTGTCTTTGATAATTAATTTTGTTCCTTGGGGAAGGATTAAACAAGCTACTCCAGACCCTTCAATGAGCTTCGCAACACCAGAGATTGTATTGACATTAGTTTCCATCAATGTCATTTGAGAAAAATATTCTTTGTTTCTCAAAATGGTGTGCGTTGTGGCACTGTCAATTAGACATTTTTCTTTGCCACTGGAGCCATAAGCAGTTATCTCCATATCTTGAATACAAATAAATATATAAATAAATAAAAGTTAAAGATAATTAACACAAATATCATACATTTTATTATCATTATTTTTTTTAGAAGGGACACAATAATACAAGCACACATGAAAATAATATACAAATTTCCAACATTTATTTAAAAAGTAAACACACCATAACGGAGTAAATGAAAATGTTTAAATAGTAGTAGTTCCACCAAAGGTCACTTCATCACCAATTTCAGCATCATCCATGTAGAAATCGGACACGTCAAATTTAGGCAAAATTGGATTGATATCATCAGTGTAATTAGCTTCCACACTTTTCCCTTTTCTTTTTGTGGAAGCCTGGTATAATTTAACCAAATGTTTTGCCGTTCGACATTCATTCGCCCAGTGTCCTTTTATGCCACATTTGTAGCATTCACCACTTGGTTTTGGCTTTTCATAAGTTTTAGCCTGTGGTGGTTTGAATTTTCCTTTTCCTTTGGAAGATGATCCATTTAGATTTTTATAGCCCCTGTTCGGCCCTTTGTTGCGGTTATTTCCGCGTCCACGTTTAAAGTGTCTGCGAGCACCACCTTGGATAACATTTGATTCTGGTGCTGAACCACGATCAGGATGACCAAAATTTGTAGGGCTACAACCGGTGGGCCTCATGTTATGATTTTTCATTAAGAGCTCATTATTCTGCTCAGCAACAAGTAATACTGAGATTAACTCAGAATACTTTTTAAAGCCCCTTTCTCTGTATTGCTGCTGTAATATCACATTTGACATATGGATGGTGGAAAAAGTTTTCTCCAACATGTCATTGTCAGTGATATTATGTCCACATAATTTTAATGTGGACGTGACTTTAAAAATAGCAGAATTATAGTCACAAACAGATTTGAAATCTTGGAATCTTAAATTGATCCATTCATATTGAGTTCTTGGCAATAGGACCTTTTGTTGATGTCCGTATCTCTCTTGGTGATTATCCCATAATTGCTTCGGATCTTCCACCAATAAATATTCAGATTTTAAACTTTCATGAAGGTGGTGGCGAAGGAAAATTATAGCTTTTGCCTTTTGCTGAGATGATGATGTATTATTCTCAGCAATTGTATTTTCGAGGCCATTAGCCTTAAGGTGAGCAAGTGCATCAACCCTCCATTCCAGGTACCTTTGACCGGATAAATCAAGAATGTCGAATTCTCTTTTGGTGATGTTGGCCATGAAATAACTACAAGATAAATTAAATTTATTATTATTTAAAACACATAGGAATCTCTAATCAAAGCTAGGAGAATGAATTTTTTTTTAAAAAAAACGTAGTATATGCAATTTTCATAAAGTCATAATTTATTTACTCCGTAATGTTTTATCCCTTATTTTAAAAGAATCTTTTGACTATAATGCAATAGACAACAAGACAAAATATGTATGAGTAGTCCATGTGAAGAACATCAAAAATGTTTGCTCAGAAGATTCCATTTATCAAATACAAAGCAAAAAAAAACAAGGGTAATAAAATAAATCACATTGAAATAAAAATGATAAATTTGAATTCTCTATATTAGCCCTTTCTGCGTAAGATCTTATCACTTACTCTCTCTTTATTCTCTCATTCTCTTACTTAGCCATACGAAAATAAAAAAAAATATGGTCCAAGGGAGCATCAGAATATCAGAAAAATTAGAGGCAGAGCAAAACCAAACTTGCTATATAAAAAATTAAATTACTCCGTAAGTCTTCTATGTTCGGTTTTTAGCTAAATTACATATATTTCTTTCACATCTTATATTTTAAGACTAGTTTAAAAGATAAAGTTATGTTTTATTTTTCAATCATAGCTACTCAATATTAAGTTCTATTATTTATTCCAGTTTATCAAAAATATGATTTTCTAGGATTATGAGGAAATTTCTTCCTTTTAATTATCTAATTTTATTTT